TTTCTTTCTTTAACAAAATAATAAAATCCACATCTTGCTGGAGTGTAATAAAACCTCTTGTGTTTTCCACACAAACACACACACAATTAGCACATAAAAACATCCCAAATTAGCATATAAAAACATTGGCACAGCTCTTTTACGGATCCTTTCTGGGCCTGCCTCCCTCCTCCTTCATTCCCCTTGAAAGAGTGCAATCCAAACTCCTCAGAGCCCTTCTACAAGTTCCTAGATGTGTTTCAAATGCATAGGTCAGACTAGAAACAGGCATGATGAAAGTCGTAGCTCATATTAGTCTAGTGGCTAACTCTGAAACTGCTCCCCCAAGGAATAGCCCCAGTGATTCTGAGCAACCAGTTTCACTCTGGTTGGCAGACAGCAGTCTTAAACACTCTTCAGAAACTGGGCCTTGCTCCCCAAACCCTCATAACTATGGGCCTGGGCCAAGCTAGTTCCATGGTTAGGCAAAGAATCATGGACACAGAGAGACAACAGGACTGTACAAGGGTCCCCGATTATAAAATCACAGAAAACTGGAGATACGTTTGCTCCCGCAGCATATCTATGTTTCCTCACATCCAGAAAGGGCTTTTACTCTTGCTAGAAGCTCGGCCTTGCCCTCACTGGTTCTGGAAGGCTGCTATAGAAGGGTCCTGTATGCACAGAGACTTTGCACCTGCCCATTAGGGGAAATAGGAAGCCTCGAACATACATTTTTTAGATGTCATTTTTATGCTGAGATTCGTAGAGACACCACTGATCCTTTGCTGAAGAGGCTCGCCGATCTTTCAGACAAGTCTAAACTTAATTCTCTCCTCTCATTTGGAGGGCTGTCCTGCCACTTCCACCCTTTTTGAAAAAAGGTTCCATAAAGCAGGTTTCTTGCTTTGAAATTTTATTTTATTATTTTTAGAGAAAGTGGTAGTAGCACATACGGTAACCGCCTCAGTGATGGTTGGACCTACTCTTTGTCTCATCTGCTCAATCTGCTGCAGCCTGTCTTCGCATGCACAGGAAGTCCCCAACTCACCAGGGGTTTGAGACCTGTCAGCTCCCCTCACCTGGTTTAGCCAACTATTCAACGGTGTCTCTGAAAAATTTTACATATCACTTGGGAAGACAGGTGAACTAATATCAGTGTACTGGAAGAAGCAAAGGTCACCAGTGTCAAAGCAATGATTCTTCAACATCAGCTTGGTTGGACTGGTCATGTTGTGTGGATGCCTGATGATTGTCTTCCAAAGCAACTACTCTATTCCGAACTTAAAAATGGAAAGTGTAATGCTGGTGGCCAACAAAAGAGGTGTAAAGACTGTCTCAAGGCAAATCTTTAAAAATGTAGTATAAACACTGACAACTGGGAAACACTGGCCTGCGAGCGCTCCAGTTGGAGAACAGCCTTTGCCAAAGGTGTAATGGGCTTTGAAGACACTCGAACTCAGGACGCAAGGGAGAAACGTGCTAAGAGGAAGGCACGCTCGGCAAATCCACACTGTGATCAACTCCTGCCCGGGAACCAATGCCCCCACTGTAGAAGGGCGTGTGGGTCCAGAACTGGCCTCCACAGTCACTTACAGACTTATTGTTAAAACCGTGTTTATGGAAAACAATCTTACTTAGCTACGAGTGATCACCAAAGGAGAAGACAAAGCCATTCCCAGGTGTTTCTACTGTCGCATGCTGGCAGGTTCTAGGAGCCACAGGTGAGAGCTGAGTGCAGGGTGGGGACCAAAGGTGGACAAACTACTCCAGAAGCGGCACACTGTGTTCCCTACCATAGGCCCCCCCTTCCCCAATGGATACAGTTAATCACTAAAAACCATACATTTATTACAGTGACACACAGGAGCCTCTTCAGTAGGGCTGGTGAGTGTGGGCCTCACCCCCTAGGCCAGGTGGAAAGGGCCTTGCGGGGAGAGGCCTTCACGCCTCACAGCCGGGCGATGTTCCTCCGGCGTAGTGTTCATGTGCTCTGCTTGTTTATATCCACAAATCCCCCCCCCCCCATTTTGCTGCCTTGTTGGATCTATTTGCACCACTATAGCAATTATAGATAAGTCCGGCAAGCTGTTTCTCAGAATTAAAGTGTTTTCCTCCATGTTTGCAGGGTAAAAACAAATGCAGTTTTTATAATGTGTGTGTAGGTCAGTTGCAGTTTTTCCTATGTACTGGATGTGAGCCTGGTGGCATTCCCTTTCTGGCTATGCACAGTGGGGCTTAAGGGGGACCCTAGCAAGAACCAAGATCCCCCTATCTCTGTGGAGAAGCCTTCTTAGGTACACAGCCCTGCATCTCCCCTGGACACCTCTTCCATCTCTTCCACCCTTTCGTTCTCTTCCACCCTTCAGTTTGCCTGAGTTACAGCAGCTGGACTCCTCCCCTACCATCAGGCATGTGACTGAGACTGCCCAACCCTTCTTTTCCCGTAGGTTGGGCTGAATTAACACCTTTAGAGGCCCTAAGCACTTTAAAGATTGGGGTGCCCCATATATACCTCCCTAAATAGTGAAACGAGTAAGACGAAAAATTATATTATATTTTTCAAAATGAAACAAAGCTTACAACAAGATGGAAAACCATGATTATTTTTGTATACTTCCACTTTATTTATATTTGATCTTTTTTCTCCTCCTTTTTTCTAATTGCAGTGTCTTTGATCAGATCCCCCAAACTAATCTTATGTAACACATCTGCATCTGGAAATGGAAAATTTCTGTTGTGCTCCTCCCTTCCCTCCATGCCCTAAGTACATGCTTCGTTTGCTTGAGGTTAATCATCACCATCATTTTATTTGTATGCGTTCTTTTCACATTTAAAACAATGCTCAAGGCAGCTTACAACATGAGAACATCTACCGTACAATCTGGCGTATAAGATGGCCCCCCAACTTTTGCTGCCAGGGGCAAGGCGCACACCCCTCCACTGCCTCTGCTATCGCAGCAGCAGCAGCAGCCCGAGGCGAGGTGTGTGGTGGGCAGAACTCCCTCCCTCCCGGCTCCCTCCCTCCCTCCATGAAAAGGCCGCGAGCAGGTGCCTCGGCCTCCGCCACCCTCGCTTGTGGGGAAGCCACGCACTACCAGTGAAATATACTCAGAGTCGCAAAGTGATTTCATGCTCTTTATTCAGCTCATAGTGGTGAGGAGGAATGAATGAATGTCCCCTCTAAGTATCTGCTTTATATACATTATTTACACAATGGGCTGCACATGATTGGCTAATTCTGGAATTCTACTGTAAGCCAATCAGGTTGTGGATTCACTTATATCTGGAGCATGACTGGGTGGTTCCTGCCAACCAATCATACTGCTGCATTGTTCTTGGACCAATCAGACTGCTGCATTCTGAATCCTATTGTTCTAGGACCAATCAGACTGCTGCAATTTGGATCCTATTGTTCTAGGACCAATCAGACCTGCTGCAGTTTGGATCCTATTCAACTCAGTACATAACAACCAGCAATAGGCGGGCGACCAGTCAAGCGCGTGCTTGGAAGGACTTTCCGTGGTGAGGAGAGAGCGGCAGCCAACAGTACAGAAGAGGAGGGGCTGCGTCCCCTTCTGTGGGGAGGGAGGAGGAGCGACGGCAGAAGGGGCGCCTCTGCTCACCGGCTCCCTCTCCTGCTTCCCAGCAGGTGGCTCCGTGTATACCAGGCGTACAAGATGACCCCGACTTTTGGGGTAATTTTCCAGGGATAACAAGTCGTCTTGTACGCCAGAACATACGGTGCATAATTACCAACATAACAAAAGTCATAAACAATAAATAAAACACACAAAAATGTACACAGTCAAATGGAAAAACATTTTCACCTAAATCAGAAAATCTAAAACTAAGAATACAGCATTAATATCAATCACAATTTAAGATGAGATAGATAAAAAATAAAATTTTAAACGAAAACAAAAATGGAGCCCTCTCTGCCTAGCTGCACTCCTTTATGTACTGTATTTTTTGCTCTATAAGACTCACTTTTTCCCTCCTAAAAAGCAAGGGGAAATGTGTGTGCGTCTTATGGAGCGAATGCAGGCTGCACAGCTATCCCAGAAGCCAGAACAGCAAGAAGGATTGCTGCTTTCACTGCGCAGCGATCCGTCTTGCTGTTCTGGCTTCTGAGATTCAGAATATTTTTTTTCTTGTTTTCCTCCTCCAAAAACTAGGTGCGTCTTGTGGTCTGGTGCGTCTTATAGAGCGAAAAATACGGTAGCCTGTCAGGCCCCAAGCCAGGTGGAGAGAAGCAGGGCAGGGCCCTGCAGGTTAATCCAGCCCTGGTTTGGGCCTCCAGGAAATGTCCACAGGTGGCCTCTTCAGGACCCATTGCCTGGCTGGTGTGGACTGGGGCCTACTGGCAAGGGACTAGGGAGCCCTGTGAGCCCATCACAGAAGCTGGCAGCCATGGATGAGGCATGCATTCCATATTAAGGACACAATTTCTGGCAGAATACAGATGCCAGCAACATGATGGCACTAGTGGACACTTCCTCTGACTATGAGGAGCCACTGGACAATGTCAGGTGAAATGAAAAGAATTGGATAATGTTTTGCCTAGGATCCCCAACTGTGCCACACAATAATGTATGCCAGAAACATGAGAGCTGCCAGTCTCCAGCCCAATGCCCCCAAGAAAACTCACAAGCAGGGTATAATGGAGATAAGCATCCCCTCTTAGCGTCCTCAGAAAACCAAGTTGTACACCTGCCTCTGAATGGGGTGGTCCAGTCCCTGGCTGCCCTGGTTACTAGCTGTTGATATGCCTGTGCTCTTTGAACTAAGGATAGTCTACTTTGAAAGCCACTTATGCTTGTGGCCATCATAACTTCCTATAGCAATGAACACATGACAACTTTCTGCGGCAAGCCACCAGAGCAGAGCTGCACGTTCTTCTTGCATTCAGCCTGCACCAAGAGAACTTTTGTGTAGGTGGTCATCTCCGCAACTCTAATACAGTGACAATCTGAAATAGAAGACGCAATCAAACTGCAGCGGAGTGGAAATAGTGCTGGTTGTGATTAATATGGGCCAGAATGGAAATTGCTGATTTATTACATCCCTGGGGTTGATCATAATTTCTCTTGTCATCTGATTTTTCCTGCTGTAGAATTTACATTCCTCATATACGCATCAGGGTGACTGCAGATCCACTTTATCGGTATGTGGCAACGGGAGGCAATGGCAAACTCCTTGCTTAGATAGGCACAGTTTTCACTTCCTTTCACCACCAACCTGCAACACGAGGAGGAAAGGTGAGATGGGCAAGCCAGGTTGGCTGCTCTGTTTTGCATGGGTGGGACAGTGTCATGAACTATGTAGCCAAGAATCAGATCCATTAGAAATGGGAACTTAGTTCCAGATCATCAGTATTTCATAACTCTGTAGCTCTGAGACTTATGGTGCAATCCTGTACACATGTCTACTCAGAAGAAAACCCCATTGTGTTCATCACAGCTAAAGAACCCTTGGCAGGTGGCCATCCAACCTCTATTTAAAAACCTCCAGTAAAGGATAGACCACCACCTCCCAAGGGAGCCTTTTTCACTGTTGGACAGCTCTTACTGCCAGAAAGTTCTTCCTGAGTTTTGGTCGGAATCTCCTTTCTTTAATCCACTGATTTGGGGCCTGTGTTACATGACTGGCTTGCCAGTCTGGGAGACAGCGCTACTGGAGATTGGCACAGCATAGCAGGATTGTTAGATAGCAGATTAAGAAAGTGTGAGAGTATGTGGCTTATGTTTCTTGATTATACTCATAAATCTGCCTCCCTAAAGAAACCACCTTTAACATTATGGAGAGATCTGATCCATGGATAAGCTTCACCCTGTGTGGTTTTGTATTTTGGTTGTATGACAGATGAGCTGTACTTGATATTTTGTATTGTTTCCTTTCTCTTCACTGTTTACTGAAAAAGCAATAAAATACGTAGCATATTTTTCACTCTATAAGACGCACTCTTCCCCTCATAAAAAGTAAGGGGAAATGTGTGTGCATCTTATGGAGCGAATGCAGGCAGGAGGCTCTGCTCAGTCGATTCCATAATATGTAATGTGTGAAGAAACACATTACTGCATTCTGAATCGCCTACCGTTCAGCTTAATTGGTTGACCTTAAGTCTTATGAGAGTGGGAGGACAAGGACTTTCTCCACACCAGAGGTAGCTCAAGAGCCTTAGCTGAAGCTTGTCAGCAGTGTGGATGGTTTCTGTGTGTCTGGTCAGAGGTGAGAAACCCCAACATATCAGAAAGGTTACTGAGAGGTTTATGCTTTGAGTGCAATTCTGATTCCCTGAAGTTCACGTTCTGGACTGATTTTTGGTTGCACATTCAGGTTTGATCAACTCACTGTACCCAGCATGGCTCCTGCTTAGTCCCAATTTGGAGAAGAACAAGGACTCACGTGTTACTGTATTCTGACCCATCTGCCCATATCCAGGTATCATTGAAGTCCTTCCGGAGGCCGATCCAATGGTCAGCTTCACCCTTGAACCGGAGCATGAACACCTTGGTTGAAAACACACAAACAGCTTAGAGCAGTGCCTCCAAATGAGTCTTCCACCTCAAATAATGCCAATTGTGGGAGGAGAACAAGAACTTCCAACACAGACCTGGGCAGTGAGACTGGAAATGCAAAGAGAGTGAGGCTTAGATAGCAGAAGGAAAGCTTTGCTGAAAAGGGAGGAAGGAGGTTCAAGGAGGATAGGAAAGTGGCTGAAGGAAGCCTATAGGCAGGGATGGGGAACTTGCTGGAGAATTGATCTACAATTTCTATTATCCTATAATGGCTGCAAGTTGGATAATTTGTTTGCATCAAGCTATGATAAAGCCAAGTTAGCTCACAGATTCTCTTTATATTTCCATAAGGATAGCTCATCCTTAGTGCTGTGCAGGAGATAATTCTCACAAACATTTATACATTTGTTGGTCTCACCTTTTCCAGCTCACTCTGAATCGTAGCCAGAGAAGAGCCCTGGGAAATGCAAAAGCGCTGGGCAGAAGTCCAGTTTCTTTCTTCTTCTGAGAAAAAGTAACACTTCCCTTCATAAACAATCCAGCCAGCTGGGCACGCTGCTCTCAAAGCAGCAGAGTAATTCCCATCAGGGGAAGTCTGGTTGGATTCCCCCCCTGCAAGAGAGAGAAAGTTCTGCTCTGAACTAGGATCTGCACATAACATTTCAACCTCCGGCTTGGAGGGAGGGCAAAGAAGGACCAGCTTTTGTGGCTCCTGGATTCAGATGCTTCTTGGAGAGTGGAACGGGAAGTAGCAGTAGAGGAATCACACAACTTGGGGGAGCTTTGTGGAAGAGCATATGCCCATGCTGCCCAGGGCGGGCGCTCCCGAGGGGTGTGTGGTGCAAAGGGTGCCCTCCCAAGCGTGGGATAGAGGCTCGGGTGACCTGAAGCAGGATGCGCACCTTGCAGCCGGGGGTGGAGCAAGCCACCCATGGGGGCAAAGTGAGCCGTCCATGGCAGACATTTGGCCTGCCCGTGACTCCCAAACATCCTCCAAGCTGTCAAAATGAAGGGGGAAAGGGGGAATGCCATCGGCAAAGAGGCGCAACTCCCCCCCTTACCTTGATGGCTTGGGGTAGGCTTGGGAGCTGAATGTCACCTGTGAGGGCACCTGGGGTGGTTTGCCCCTACCGCCATTCCCTTCCTAGGCCCAGGGAAGAGCATCTGCTTTGCGTGCTGAAGGTCCCATGTTCAATCTCCAGCATCTTCAGGAAGGGCTGGAAAAGATCCCCTCCAAAGTCCCAGAGAGCCATTGGCAAGAGCATGAATAATACGGATTCAGCCAAAGGCAGCTGTTTTCCTAACTGCTGCTGCTCAGTGTGAACTGGCCATTAGAAGCCAAAGTGCTGATGGAAGACAGAGGTCATGACTGGGGCAGACCTGGAAGAAAGCACTAAGAAAAGAGGCAGAAAACTCACCTCTCTGGACAGCAAAAGCAATGATGGTGCTGATGATGGTGATGATGAGGAGGAGGAGTTCAATGATGATGATGATATTAATATTGAATTCAATTGAGAATCTTTTATGGCGATAATTAGGGTGACCCCCTGAAAGGAAATTAACACACACAAATAATGGTCTTGATTTACCATTGGTAGGGAAGAAATAAGAAGAACACAGATCTCACCTACAAGGGGTGTTTCACATGTAGCCACATCACATCACAACACACACACACACACACACACACACACACACACACACCTAATACCAGAACTTTGCTGTTGTTACTTCAATATCTATTTCTTTTGGGCATTCAGAAATTTGGAGTTGGCATATTTCAATTTTTTTCTATCTCCTGCATTGTTAGCGTAGCTAATTGTCTCTCCAGCATCTTAATTTGCCAGGTAATATTTGTATTTGTTGGCAATTGTTCCAGCTCTTTTTCTTTTTATCTAATTTCACACAGAATCTTTTTGTATTTTCTCCTGTCTCTCTTTTTTAAGTTAGGTTGTAAGAATAAGAGTTATGTTGTATAATGTAACCTCTTATATAATATGCTTTACTTGCCTCCCATACCATACATATTTCTGTACCTTTATCTAAATTATTCTCAAAATTCTTTTTCTTAATTTGGGGTTGGAACACATTAGCCAGCAGCCTTTTGACACCCAGGCAGTCAGATTCTTACTGAGATATGAGTGACAGCCCCCCCCCCGATCCCCACAGCAAGGCTTGGAGGCCTCACCTCACCAACAGCCCCATCCAGCTCATCCACACAGCTGTTAAACTGGGCAGGCAATTTTGGGGGTCATCCTTTGGGGGCAAAAACTGATCGCTACTAGGAATAGCTAGAGGGCAAACTGGGATAGACACCTACCAAGATAAGACATTTGATCAGAAAGAGCAATCTTTTACCTATAGCTGAAGAATTCAACTGGTCCCACAGTCCATCTACAGAACTGAGAGGCATCTTCAATTATCTGAGGATATGCAGAAGATATCTCCCCGGCTTCTCCAATGTGACTCACCTTCAAATGGCTCCCTTTAATCCTTTTCAGTAAATCTAAGGCAGGATGGGCAGAAAATGATGCAAAGACAGATGCCTCAACCAGTTCAGTCCTCAGCTGTTTTCTGAGATCTTACCAAGCACTGACCATACCTGTTAGAGGTGTCGGGTGCTTGCTCGAGAGCAATCAGGCAATATGCCTCACTAGTCTGTTCTAAAGCTTTCTTATTGGTGGTAAAAACCTTTGGAAAGCAGAGCGCCTCTATTCCATGTCTTGCTCATTCACTGGCAGAATCTGAGAGTGGGCGGATGTCAGGGGTTCAGGAGCAGAGGCAAGGGCAAGGGAGGAAACAGAGAGCGAGGGGGAGGAGGCAGAAGAAAAGATGAGTGATGACGACGACCCGAGATCTCCGAGTCTTTCCAGTGAATCAGAAGATTCACAGAAAGGAGCACCAGTGGCCAGGGCAAGGGGGGAGCCTAGGGGGACACCCCAGGAAGAAAGGGCCAGAGGGGGCTCAGAGGGGAGCAGTTGGAAATCGGGACCAGCGTCACCAACAGAGAGCAGGGGAGAGGAAGGGCGCCAGGGATCAAGCGCTGGAAGCTCACAACAGGAGGGAGGGCACGAGTCAGGAGTGGCCACACCTCCATCGGGGAGCGAAGAAACGGTCAGACGGAAAGTGGAAGGTTGGGCGCGCGCGCCAAGTTCAAATGCACAGGAAGGTGGCGCAGTAAGCAGCCCGGAAAGGGAGCCAGGTCCTAAAGCCCGGCGCAAGGAGACAGGAGGGTCCGGGGGGTCAGCGTCAGAAGAATCCCGGAAGGAAGAGACCCCGGGGGGCAGAGGGACCCAGAGAAGAACAGTCAGGCGGAAAAGGTGGAGTAAGGCTAGGGTATTAAGTTGGTGTACAGGGGGCGGAGACTCAGACGGAGCTTCGCCGGTCTAACCCTTAAGACGTAGAGTTGCGCGCAGCAGCTTGAGAATGGAAACTGTAACTCAATAAAAGACTTTTACAAGTGACCGCTGGCTAGCGTGATCCTCTGTGAGCTAGGATCTGGAAGCAGCTCTGACAGCGGTCCTTAAACCTTCCCCAGCAGAGTAGTTTCTTGACGCCCAGTCTGCGCCTCCCCTCTCTATGCGGAAGCCTACTGCACAAGGAAGGCTTGGGTAAAGGGGGACCTCCCTCCTCCCTGCTTTGCTCAGGCAAGTTGTCCTGGCACCGCCTTGCATCCTCCGAGCCCTGCATCTCCTCTCCACTAGAGCTGTGGCTTCCTTCCTCCACTGAGGAAGTGCTGCTTCCCACGATCTTTGGGGGCTCTCTGTAATCCATCCGTCTTTCCCCCCCTCGCCCCTGAGCTGATGGCAGATCCCTGACAATAGCCTTTCAAGTTCACATACATACAATCTTGAAACTGAACTTGAAATCTAAACAGGGCCAAAGCTCTCCAGATGCTGCAGTAGCCAATGATGACATTTTGTGCTCATGTGGCCACTGAAGTAGGAATGGGGGGGGGGGTAGAGGGGCGCCCCGCCCTGGGTACTGGAGGAGCTACTTACATGGGGCTTGGCAGCAGTGAATATGGACTTCCCTGTCATTGCCAATTGGTTTTCTGGTTGTCATGCTGCAGCAATTTATTTAAATCTTCATATCCTTTGTAACCAAAAGGCTTAGCCATATTAAAAACTGCCTTCTGTTTCACCACTTACCTGATTGCTATAGCGAAAGAGGAATTATGTGCAGATAAATGGACGGTGAGCTGCTGGAATTGGGGCAGGTGGCTTCCTTTCTCCCTTAACCACATCTACACTAGGCATGGGGTGGTGGGTGGGGGAGAAGAAGGTTGCCCACCATAGAAACTACCATGATTGCCAGATGGTAGCCCTCCAATTCACCCTTTGGGCAACTGCTTGTGTTTCTATGCTGGGCATGGAGGGAACAAAAGCAATAATGAATGACTGCAGCCAAGACAGCGTGAATGATACAGTGCTGTGGAAATACGACTTGTGATATTCAGTGCAAAATCCAACTTCTTCAGAATCCCATCTTTCATTCTTCCCCCCCTTTTTTTTAAAAAAGCAAAGTTTCTAGTTCATATAATTCTATGCCACAATGCTTGCTCGATCTTGGAAGCAAAATAATGGCTAAAAAAGTTTTATTTAACAGCCAGGGTGGTTGTGGTGGTGAATCTTCGTTTATCCGCAATCCTTTTTTTATGCCAATGCGTTGAGCTTGCATAATCTATACAAGCTTCGGAACTGCACATAACTTTGATCACCTTGGTGCAAAAACTTGGAGGGTTGTGTGGTTCGGTTTGTTTTAGCGCAGAATACGCACAAAACTGGCCAAACGATTATAATTGTAATTATTGATTACAGAGCAGACATTTAGCATATGCATCAATCTCTCTCTCTCCCCCTTGTAGTTGATGAAAATAAAGCAGGGGTGGGTGGTGAAGAAGGAGAAAACATATACTTTTAAAGATCAGGCTGTGTATTTTGGTAGGTTTTCATGGTTTGCAAAATCCTGCCCAGCCTAAGTAGCCATAGGTGATGATGAGGATGGGCCTCAGTAGCTGAGGAGTAGCATATATATACAACAGGTTAAGGGCTTTCTCTGTTTCATGACACTCTTTCTGTCACCCCAGATGCCCATTTTTATTTTTATTTTTGCAACTCCATTTCCCGGAGTTAATACAAGCACCTGCCCACTGATTTGCATCTTTGCATTTCATTAGCTTTTCTGAAGTGAAGAAACAACAACAACTCCCAGAATGACAGTATTCAGAGAGCCTTTAAAAAAGTTACTGGGAACCAGGCAGAGGGCCTTCTCGGTAGTGGCACCTGCCCTGTGGAATGCCTTCCCATCAGATGTCAAGGAAATATACAACTATCTGACTTTTAGAAGACATCTGAAGGCAGCCCTGTTTAGGGAAGATTTCAATGTTTGATGCTTTGTTGTGTTTTTAATATTCTGTTGAGAGCCGCCCAGGGGCTGGGGAAACCCAATCAGATGGGCGGGGTATTTATCATCATCATCATCATCATCATCATCAAAGACACCTTTGCCTAAGGAGGCAAACTTACCAGCAGCATCTCCAGCCTCTTCCCTTGGTTCACTGTGAGGACCTCCCTGCTGTCCCTCTCGCTTTTCAACAAGGCCAGGTGGTGTTGAAATAGTGCCTGCCAAAAGCAAAGAGAAGATGGGTGTTCAAGGCTTAGGGAGTGGGCAGTTCTGTGTTTCTGCATCGTTCTCCTGCCATAGGCTCCCTCCATAGGCATGAACAAAGCAAGCAGATCATAGGCAGTTCTAGGATGCCCAAATACTCCTGAGAGGTGTAGCCTCCTTACAAGGTGTGCACTCCTTCCTGCAAGGTTCTAGTTATAGGTTCCTGTTCCTGTAAGCACCTGGTATCATGTTTTTAATATTCTGTTGGGAGCTGCCCAGAGTGGTTGGGGAAACCCAGCCAGATGGGTGGGGTATTATTATTATTATTATTATTATTATTATTATTATTATTATTAATTATTATTAATATCCACTTTTCTTTTCTTTTTAAAGCGTTTATTAATTTTCCAATAAAAACATCTAATTAACATATCAAATCAAATCCAATAAAAATAAAAAACTAAAATAAAAAAGTCCAATTGTCTTCCAAATTGTAATAATTTTTGTTTTGGCTTCCCACGGTCTGAATTCCGAAGTGCTTTCAACATCATAGTCCTGCCTCTCATCATCATCAATGTTTTTCATAATTCCATATCCGATCTTTCCCTCCACGTTTTGACTCTGGTTCTGTGGTCCTCATTCATGTCAGAAAACAGATACATTTTTTTTTCTATGTCCGTATATTTTTCTGTATATTGTACTCTTTCAGCTGTTTTTATTTTTTCATCGCATCGCTTCATTTAATTGCATCCAAATCCAGAGTTCTGTCCAGCTCTTTAAGAATTGTTATTTTGGCAGCTCCCAAACCGTTAATCTTTCCTGTCCAGGTGTTATCAAAGAAACAGAGAGAAACCTCCTTCTAAAATTCCTTGTTGATTTATCTTAAACAGACTGTTTGCAATGTAGCCATATATCAGACAGTTAGCAATTGGCCTTTGGAATCCACCCAGTCCCCCCTCCGGGCCCTAGAGGGGGGCTGCCAGACATCCATTTGGCCCTCTCTCTCGCTCATAAAAAACTTCTTTTGCAAACAGTTGTATATGTAATATTGTTTCCAGTCTTTATAACCAACCATCAGTTAGCTCCTGTTTCTCTTAATCAGGGAAGTATTTCAGATATTCCATAAGTGTGTAGTCGGTAGAAACCATTTTGTCCTTTGTTCTTTGTTTTCGTCTTTAACAGGCATTTCAAATCTTAGAAGAAAAGCGGCTGCGAATAGGTCCCAATTATATATGAAAGTCCATCTGTACTCACTTTTTGAAGAGCAATTTAGGTTCTTAATGAGGCTTGGCATGCAATACGGATTTTTAATGTTAGAGGGAGGAGAAAAAACATACCAAGCCCCTCCAGATTCCAAACATCATGATGAGGATCTCTTTGAAGTTCAATCTTTTGCACCAGAGACTTTACATTCTGCAGGTTTCCCCCCAGCTTCTTCAGTTCAGAGCGTGTCTGTTTGTTTTCCAAATCTTTATATTTTCCCAAACAGATGCGTCTGGCTATGGGGTGGCATCACAGGAGTGTCAGTCCGTCCCTTGCTCCGTGACCCAGTGCCCCTGCCGTCTGCCACATCGGCAATCTGGGGCAGACCGCGGGTCGTCGAGACAGTCCTCCCCTGCCCTGGGGAGGCTGCCAGGGCTAATTACCCCCATATCAGCCCTGAATTATCGGAACGGCTGAAGTCCGATCGTGTGGGGTCCGCCATTTCCCACCGCCGGAAACATTGACCCACTTTGCTTCATTTGGTAGCAAAGACTCCATGCAAGTTATTTTTTTCATTTGAAAATGGCCCACGTTCATTTTCAGCCACGCAGCCGTGAATATGGCCCATCGTCACCTATGGCTACATAGGCTGGGCAGGATTTTGCAAACTACCCAAACCTGCTTACAAAATGGAATGACATGACTGCACATTCTGCAAAAAGAGATTCTTAAGAGCTTGCTCTTTTAAAAAAAACCCCAACCAACTACAATCTGTCTCCAGTCTCCATCTTAATACTTTTCATGCATCAGAATTAACTTGCTTACCAGATTTTTCTCTCCTCTCTGAATGTTCAAAATTGTAACAAGCTCCATTCTGTTGAGGTAAAAGCACAACTTGCTCTGCTCTGTTTACAGGTTTCTTGTAGGTATTGGCATGTTCCACCATTTTTGGCTGACCTTCCAGAGGATCCTTCATCCTTCAGAAAGATAATAGAAAACCTTATTTACAGGCAAAATTACCCTTGCTTGCCTACATGCTATTAGGAGCACCAGACGCCTTTATGAGAAACAAGAGGGAAGTATCAAAAATTGAGGTTTGCAGGGGTACAACTAAGTGAAGAGGACAGCCTCCTAAAAAATAAAAATAAAATCCATTGAGGTCTGAGCATGCTCAGTAGTCATGGGAAGGAAGAGAGGTGGGGAATCTTTCCCCCTCAAATTTCCTTCTGTGTCACATTCCACAGAGCTAGAAGCAAAGGGCAGCAGAGGAGCCACTGTAATTTTTACCTTTGTGCATAAGCTGTACATCTATAGAAGTTTATAAAATTATGCATGACACAAAGAAAGTGGAAAGAGAAAAGCTTTTCTCCCACTCTTGTTAGAACACTAGAATCAGTGGGTATCCAACGAAGCTGAATGTTGGAAGATTTAGGATAAAAGAAAGTGCTTCTCTACACAGCACATACTCTAAACTATGGCACTTGATGCCCCAGGAGACAGTGACTGCCATCGTGAATGGCTTTGAAAGAGGATCGGATAAATTGATGCAGGAAAGGGCTATCAATGGCTACTAGCCACCTGCCCAGTTGGGGGCAGCAGTGTTTCCAAATACGAGCTGGCACTTGAAGGCATGCAGAAGGTACCAGCACCCCTAGGTAGGGCTGGGAGACCTGTGCTTGGAGAGCCACTGCCAGTCAGTGCCTACAGTACTGAGCTAGATGGAGCAGTGGTCTGATTCAGCAGAAGGAAGCATCCTCTGCTCCTCTGCAACAAGAGGAAGGTTCAAAGCAATCTTCTCAGCCAGTGCATGGCCAGACCACTTGCGGACCCTGAGAGCAGGTGGAGGAGGGAGGAGGAGGAAGCAGGGGGCGAGATCTAGGATGCACTCCAGAAAGGAAGTTGAGCAGTTGGGGGAGTGGTGCAGGAAAAACAACTTACTCCTTAACTTCAAGAAAACAAAAGAGATTGACTGGCAGAATCCGAGACCAGGGGGAAGAGTCAGTGGAAGAAGATTGGAGAAAATTTAAAATTTATTTGCAGAAACACTGTAAAATTTATGAATGTTAAAGACAGTGAAATGATTTCAGGGGCTTTAGCAATAAAGTAAAATGTAAGATTGAAATAATAATAGACAAATTGTTAGAATATGAATTTGCTGAATAAATTTCTAAAAAGGGATACAAGAACGGGAGACGTGAGGAAGTCGGGAAAATAAGTTAATTGAAGATGGAAATTAAGAAAGAGGGAATTTTTGTTCTTTTATCTTTTTTCTTTTCTTTTTCTTTTTCTTTCGTTGTGTTTAATGTTTGTATTTTTGTATTGTATTTTGTGACTTTGTATTCTTCTTGTTTTTGTATTTTTCTTGAAATTTCTTTTACTGTTAAAACTTAATAAAACATTTATATAAAAAAACAAAAAAAAGAGGGGGGGAAAACAAGAAAACAAAAGAGATTATTGTGGACTTTAGGAAATGTAAATTTAATATTAAGCCACTTATTATTGAGGGGAAGTATCTCAGTGTTTCGATTTCTGGGAATGAAGTTGAGAGATGACCTAACCTGGGGAGAAAACAGCAAAGACCTGATGAAGAAAGCACAGCAGAGGTTATATTTTCCGAGAATCCTCCGGAAAAACAATCTCTCAAAGTACCTGTTGATGGCATTTTACCATTGCACTGTTGAGAGTGTATTAACTTATGGTCTGTGTGTGTGGTTTGGGAGCTGCATGGTCAGGGGGAAAAACAATGTTGTCCAGGGTTGTAAAGACTGCGGAGAGTAAAATTGGGTGCAGTCTCCCTACCTTGGATCAAATCTATGCTGTCAGGTGCTGTATGGGACAATGACAATATGCTGTATGGGACAATGACAATAAAGATTATCGTATCATTGTATCGTATCGTATCGTATCATGTCGTGTGGGCCAGCCAGATGTGTGGGGTACAAATAATACAATTATTATTGTGATTAAAGCTTGCTATCTGAGGGTGGCTGCACTCAGGAAAAGAACAGATAGGCAAGGGAAAGCAGGGAACATGATTTGGCTGCTGGCTGGGCAAAGCGAAAGGATTGCCACAGGGAAGGGAGACAGGGAAAAGCCAAAGGCAGGAGCAGCCTAGCCAGGCACCAGTGGGAGCGGGTCAGAGATTTATTTTATTTTCAGTTTTGAACAGGAGCCTGGAAGTCCAAATTCACACTAAAAGCGTGGGAGGGAGAGAGAAGCCCACAGCTATGGACCAACCTCATCAGGACGATGCTCTGAAAATCTGTACTCAAATAGCCTCCAATTCACGGTAGAATCCGGTGTGTACAACCTCTTGGTTTACAAAGTGCACGCTCTGATCAAAGTGCCTACTAGTGAAGGAGGTGCAATAAAATTAATCTATCTGGCTATGATTTCTGTTATTCACAGAGTGACCGCTGTCAGGGAAGGAGCTTCACCTATTATAGCTCTCCTATTTAAGTTGATGGAGGAAAGGAAGAGCTAAACCAAGCATACGAACCTGGGATGTTATCTAGGCTGCGTCCTGACTGCTCACCCTATCCTCCGCCATTGGCCTTTTCCACTCTGAGCCTGCATGCACGCATTTCTGTACCTGTGCGTGCACACCTTTAATTAAAAACGAACAGAAAACATGCCCAAGAACAATCAGTACAAAACAGCGGTGCCAACTTGAATAAACTATTCTTGCGTGGAAGGGGGCAGGTAATCAATCACATGATGCGGCGCATGCCCACTATTTGAATGGCAATGCCTATCGACTTTGGGGTGCCCCGGCCTCCTCTCAAATGGGGTGTGTGTGTTCTGCCCCCCTATAATTTGGCTACTACAGTACATTATTAGAGGCAACGCGGGAGCTTGCTGAGAACACGGCTGCTAAAAGACGGGGTGTGTGTGTGAAAAAATAACTTTTTTTGCCCTCCAACGCCACCTGAAGTTGCACGTTTATAATGCATACAAAGCTCTGTTTTTTGACTGTTTGTAGCTGAGTCCAAAGAAGATGGTAACCATGTAAGACTATACTCAAGTCAAGTTACAAAACTCGGGAAGAGATGAAGACTATGGGTTCAAGTTAGGGAAAGCTTCACGGATGATGGCGGGTTAGAGGTAGGGGGTGTTAATAAAAATGTTCTGGGAGGGAGTGATGAGCATTAAGGGGGAGATATTCCTGATAAAGGAAGCCTTGTAAAACACAGTGACATCCACAGCCAGGTTTTCACACCCTCAGATACAGATCACTTCCCAAAAGCCCCTGGCCCCATTTTTCTTCCAGTTTCAAGTCTCACTTGCTTCTTCTTTGCAGAACTGGAAAGGGAAAGCAAGATAACCATCTGCTTAGACAGAGTGACTAACAGGTGTCTGTTTCTGTAACCTTTGATCGGATGCATGAAGTCGTTACACCAAGTTACAGGCAAGTGCACGAGAGGGGAGAGGAAGACTGTAAGCAGCATAGCCAGAAAGAAATGAAATGTTGTGAAGCGCAAGCAGTGAGAATTACGTTAACAGTGCCCATTCACACACACAACATTATTGATAACGCAACTATCCTTGTTCAGCGGAGGACCATAATTTAATCCAATGAACTTCTGTGAATTTGCCGAAAGACACCTAAATAGTTCCACAGAATTATTCACAGACCCTTCAGTCCCTAACAGTTCTGGGTTCTCCCAAGGAGTTAACATAGTGATGCCAGTCACAGATTGTTGCCATGTGCTGGGGCAGCCTCTATACACACACATACACACAAGTACACATGTCCCCCCCCCCCAAAAAAAATCTGGCCCCTTAATAGAGTAAAAACAATTGTCTAGGTTTGTATGATAGTATCAGGCGGCAGAGGAACCAACCCCCATGGCAAGTTGCGGATAATATATGGAAAAGTCCTTCCATCAGCTTTTACTCAGTATTCACAGAGAGAGGCTTGCTTCGAGTGAAACTGCACCCCATCCCTCTCTCCCATTTCCTCATTCGTCATCCCTATGGGTGCTGAGAAGTGCCCTCAGCCTTTGAGCTCTTTGCCCTCCTACTTCCAAGGCCTGCTATATTTTGGAAGGGGGGGTCTGGAATGCTTTCTAAAGACAGTGTGTCCATCAGCTGTGGCCCCCCTGGTTCTCCCTCCTCCTCCTCCTCCTCCTCTCCCATTATTTCCCAGCTTTCCCCCTCATCTGCCTCTGAGCTGTGACCTCCCTGAAACCCCTGTTGTAAATCTAAGCTGTCTTCTTCTTCTCTGGAAGGGTCAGGCTGGGGAGATGGTCTCCGCCATTCCTGCTCTGCCCAGTCCCTGACAGACAGAGGCTACACAAAAGCCTCCTCCCCCGGTGAGGGGAGCCCCCCTGCCTGAATTCAGCACAGCATTTTCCTGCCTCTCCAGAACTCCTTTATTCCACACCCCACACAGACAACCAAGATCCACACTCCAGAAGCAAGCACTTGATATTCATCAGATATCTTCTTCATTGAAGCAGAGGCTGGATGGCCATCTGTCCTGGATGCTTTAAATGAGATTCCTGCACTGCAGGGGGCTGGACTAGATGCCCCTCTGACCCCTTCCAACCCCACGATTCTACGATTACAACGTCTCCCACCCACCTGATGTGCTTCCAGTCTAGAATCTGTTCCCAGAGAGTTTTCCCTCCAGGACAAGGCAGAAATCCTTACCTCTCCATGAAGAGTATGCGGCTCCTCCTCCTCTCCCTGTGCACTGCAAGTTGTGCAGGTTGGGCCCCTTTCCTCTTTCCTCTTATTTCCTGCCACAACGAAAACCCCATGGCGGCACAGCGGAGACCCTTCAAAAGTAGATTGAGCTAGCAGCCGCTGCTTAAAGTGCTCAGTGTCACCTGTTGAAGCAGCAGTTCCCCACAGCCGCTCATCTCAGCCTTTAACCTGCAGTCATGAATACATTTACCTGGCAATAACAACTGAGTAGGTGTGGCTAGGATTGCACTGCTCATCTCATGCTTTAGTGCCTGAGGGCCCTGCTCCTGCCACTCACCACCTGGCCCGGGGCAGGGCCTGACAGGCCTCACAAGGACTGCTGCTACTGCTGTCCAGGAGGACTCCCCTGTGTGAGTGCCTGAGGGCACTGGTCCTGCCACTCACCACCTGGCCCAGGGCGGGGCCTGACAGGTATCACAAGGACGGTTGCTGTTACTGCTGCTCCTGTCCAGGAGGACTCGGAGGGGCGCAGAGTTCTTTTTAAAATGTTTTAAAATTTTCTGTTTCCCTTTTAAATTTTTTGTATGTGGGGGGTGGGGTGGATGTTTGGTTGGGCTTGGGAATTTGATTTTGATGTATTTGTAATTTTTACAGTTTTTTGTTTGTATTGTTTATTATTTTTTAAAGGTTTTATTTTGTTCTGAAGGGGAGGGGTCAGGGCTGCCAGGGAGTGGGCCCCAGCCAACAAAATGGCTGGGGCATGTTCCACAGAGGGGATCATGGGTAGAAGGAGGAGATACGCTAAGACCAGACCATGTCATTACAGAGGGGTCAGGTTTAGTCGTTGTCTGAGGACTATCCCTGCCTCCGGGTCTGGTCCTGACTGGATGGATACTAGAATCAGCAAGAGATACCCACATGACCTGAAGGTGCTGCTGTGCAATGCCAGGTCAATGATTCATAAGACCACTGCCATCCATGACTTGATCATGGATGGAGGACTTGACCTGGCATGTGCAACAGAGACTTGGTTGGATGAAGCAGATGGGCCTGTCCTTGCCGCTGCTTGTCCACCAGGTTTCTCTTACGCACAGCAACCCAGATCATGTGGGCGGGGAGGGGGGGTTGCAGTGATTTTTAGGAAGTCACTAGTTTGCACCAGGCGTCCTATTGGGAAGACCCAGTTTTCTGAGTGCATGTTCTGGAAGTTGGGCAATAGGGGCAGTACAGGATTCCTTTTGGTGTACCGACCTCCCCACGGCACCAAGGATTTCCTGCCCGAGCTGCTTCAGGTCATAGCGGATGTTCTCCTGGAGATACCTAATTTGGTTGTCCTAGGGGATTTTAACATCCATGCCGACACGGCCTTACAAGGGGCCACTCGGGACTTCGTGGAAAGCATGGCCTCCATGGGGCTGTCCCTGAATAAGTCTGGGCCAACCCATAGCCGTGGACATGCCTTGGACCTGGTGTTTACCTCTATGGATGTTGGTGATCTGACACTAAGTAAAAGCGAAATGAAAGAAGTGCCATGGTCAGATCACTTCCTGGTGCAACTGGACTTCTCCGCGACCCATCCCCTCCGCAGGGAGGTGGGACCGATTCGGATGGTCCGCCCCTGCCACTTAATGGATCCAAATGGTTTCCAGAGATTGGTAGGGGATGCTTTATCCCATGTTGATAGCCTTTCAGCTGATTCCCTGGTGGCCTGCTGGAATGTGGAGTTAACCAGGGCTATTGACTGTTTGGCTCCGAAGCGCCCTCTCCGATTGCATGGAGCCTGGAGAGCCCCATGGTTTCCCACGGATCTGAAGGCAATGAAACAATCGTTGAGACGGCTAGAGCGCCGGTGGTGGATAACTCATTCTGAAGCTGACTGGACACGGGTTAGAGCTCAATGTCGAGCCTACCAAGTGGCGGTAGTGATGGCGAAGAAGACTTTCTTCACTGCCTCTATTGTGTGGGATGTGAAACACAAGAGCAGTCAAGTACAACGTTCCTAGGGTGAACATGTTTGTCCAGCCAGCAGGTAAACTTCCTGTTTCCTTCTGAGCTGGGAAGGACTTCCTCTGCGTGTGACTAGAGGTGGGTGTGGCCTCACCTGTGCAGGTAATGACAAAAGCACAGGGCAGGGCAGCCATCTCTCTCTCTTTCACCACATGCATCGAAGACAAAACATCTACTAAGTCAAAGATGCCCTCTTGGCTTCCAGCCAAGAGAGGACAAAGAGACTGTCTTCTTATAAGATAGATTCCAAGTGTATGTTACTTCATTAAGCTAAGTCTGCCTTCTGGGATCTGATTGTGAACAGAATGTGAGCAAACTCTTTTTATACTTTTGTAAAAGACTGTGTCGTCTCTTATATTTTATGAGGGAAGAAGGGGAAAATACCAGAACAGTTATTGTAGAGGCTTTAGCGAGCCTGAGCAAACGCATCCGTTGCAAAGTTTAAAATAAGGGGAATGTTACTCTGCTGAAATTGTGGAACTTGTTAACACAAGTTGGATAAGGATCCCTGAACATTCCCACATACTGCATCTACAGAAAACAGCAGCAGGACATCGGGGCCCAGTATGGGCCACATGATCTCCTGCAATGATTTTGCAAAGTTTTTTGCAGATAAAGCCGCTCAGATTCGGGAAGAGGTAGACGCCACCGTGGGAGCAGGGCCGGGGCGGGAGAGTGCTAGAGTCCTGTCTAGTCAAGTTGCGTGGGATCAATTCCAAACTGTTACTTCCGAGGATGTGGACAGGCTGCTTGGATGAGTGAAACCAACCACCTGTCTCCTTGCCCATCCTGGCTTATAAAAGCTAGCTGGGAAGGGCTGGGCGATGGGCATCATGGGGTGGTGAATGCTTCCCTCAGTGAGGGAGCCTTCCCAGACCCACTGAAAGAGGCGGTTATTAAACCGCTTCTTAAAAAACCATCTTTAGATGCGGCCACGATGGCCAACTATCGCCCAGTCTCAAATTTCCATTCTTGGGCAAGGTGATTGAGCGAGTGGTTGCTGAACAACTCCAGGCACGCCTGGAAGAAGCGGACCATTTGGGTCCCTTCCAGTCGGGATTCAGGCCTCATCATGGGACTGAAACTGCCTTGGTCACACTGGTTGATGATCTCCGGCAGGCTAGGGACAAAGGTGAGAGCTGTTTCCTAGTTCTGCTGGATCTCTCAGCAGTGCTTGATACCATCGACCATAACATCCTTCTGGACCATCTTGAGGGGCTGGGAGCTGGGGGCACTGTCATACAGTGGTTCCGCTCCTTCCTCCTGGGAAGAAAGTGGTGGGGGAGGATGAGTGTTCAGACCCCTGGGCTCTCACTTGTGGGGTGCCTCAGGGTTCTGTCCTCTCCCCCATGCTTTTCAACATCTACATGCAGCTGCTGGGAGAGATCATCAGGGGGTTTGGCCTGGGTGTTCATCAGTATGCGGATGATACCCAGCTCTACCTCTCTTTCAAATATGAATCAGTGAAGGCGGTGAAGGTCCTGTGTGAGTGTCTGGAGGTGGTTGGAGGATGGATGGTGGCTAACAGATTGAGGTTGAATCCTGACAAGACGGAAGTATTGTTTTTGGGGGACATGAGGCGGGCAGGTGTGGAGGATTCCCTGGTCCTGAATTGGGTAACTGTGCCCCTGAAGGACCAGGTGTGCAGCCTGGGAGTCATTTTGGACTCACAGCTGTCCATGGAGGCACAGGTCAAATCCGTGTCCAGGGCAGCTGTTTACCAGCTCCATCTGGTACGCAGGCTGAGACTCTATCTGCCTGCGGACTGCCTTGCCAGAGTGGTGCTTGCTCTGGTTATCTCCCGCTTGGACTACTGCAATGCGCTCTATGTGGGGCTACCTTTGAAGGTGACCCGGAAACTACAACTAATCCAGAATGCGGCAGCCAGACTGGTGACTGGGAGCGGCCGCCGAGACCATATAACACCGGTCTTGAAAGACCTACATTGGCTCCCAGTATGTTTCCGAGCACAATTCAAAGTGTTGGTGCTGACCTTTAAAGCCCTAAATAGCCTTGGTCCAGTATATCTGAAGGAGCGTCTCCACCCCCCATCATTCTACCCGGACACTGAGGTCCAGCGCCGAGGGCCTTCTGGCGGTTCCCTCGTTGCAAGAAGCCAAGTTACAGGGAACCAGGCAGAGGGCCTTCTCAGTGGTGGCACCCTCCCTGTGGAATGCCCTCCCACCAGATGTCAAAGAGAACAACAACTACCAGACTTTTAGAAGACATCTGAAGGCAGCCCTGTTTAGGGAAACTTTTAATGTTTGATGTATTACAGTATTTTAATATTTTGTTGGAAGCCGCCCAGAGTGGCTGGGGAAGCCCAGCCAGATGGGCGGGGTATAAATAATAAATTATTGTTGTTGTTGTTGTTATTGTTATTATTATTATTATTATTATTATTATTATTATTATTATTATTATATTGTAGCAGGCATGGGTTTGCTTCTTTCTTTCTTTCTTTCTTTCTTTCTTTCTTTCTTTCTTTCTTTCTTTCTTTCTTTCTTTCTTTTTGTTTCTTAAATATTTTTATTGGTTTTTCCATGTATACATCCTCTAACAATATTTCTCTAACAATTTTCCATACCACCCCAGACTTCCCCTGTGAATTGGGCTTGGACACTAATCTATCATCTATCTATCTATATCTATCTATCTATCATCTATCTATCTATCATCTATCTATCTATCATCTATCTATCTATCTATCTATCTATCTATCTATCTATCTATCTATCATCTATCATCTATCTATCTATCTATCATCATCATCATCATCTATCATCTATCTATCTATCATCTATCTATCTATCTATCTATCTATCTATCTATCTATCTATCTATATCTATCTATCATCTATATCTATCTATCATCTATCTATCTATCTATCTATCTATCTATCTATCTATCTATCTATCATCTATCTATCTATCTATCATCTATCATCTATCTATCTATCTATCTATCTATCTATCTATCTATCTATCTATCTATCTATCTATCATCTATCTATCTATCTATCATCTATCATCTATTTATCTATCTATCTGTCACCTACATAACATCATTCAATAAACAATTAAACAAAAGAACTTTAACACAACC